ATACATAATTTTCCATAAATATCCTTAAGTTGATATAGGTGCTTTTTTTGGACGTCTTACTTAAGTTTGCAACATGGTTAGTTAGTCAATAAACATTTATTAAGCACCTACTATATGTCAGGCACTATACTAAGTACTGTGGATTAAAAAAGAGGCAAGAGAAAGTCCCTGCCCTCAAGGAGCTCACAATCTAATGGGAGAGATAACAAGCAAACATATATGTACAAACCCACTATAAGATAAATAGGAAGTAATTAAAAGAGAAAAGACACTAGAATTAAGAGGGATTGGGAAAGGCTTCCTATAGATGTATATTATCACACACTTAGGGATATGGAATTACAAGAATTCTGACAAGTGGTCCACCAGCTTCGGTTTGAAGATTTCTAGTGATGGAACATTCAGGTATTCATGAGGCACCCTGTTCTATCTTTGGATAGCTGTCATTGTTAGGAAGTTTTCCCCTATGGCCTCTCTATAACCTCTGTCCATAGCTCTTAGTTCTGCCCTCTGGAAATAAGCAGAACAATCCAATCTGTCCTCTACAAAACAGCCCTTGAAGACTATAATGATAGTCACTCATTAAACCTTCTCTCTTCTCCAAGTTAAACATCCTCAATTTTTTCAACTGATCCTTGTATAGCATAGTTTGAATCTCTGCCTAATGTGGGCTGATCCCTTTGTACACACTCCAGCTTGTCAAGCAAGTGTCCTTCAAAAAAACTTTGTCTATTACTCTTTAACCTAAAGAGGACTGTTCCCCAAGGAGATTTATTGTTGGCAAAACCAAACCAAAGCAAAACAAAAAAATCCGACCTCTACTGACCACTATGACAGAGTATAGCAAGGGTACACACACATATATATATATATATATATATATATATATATATATATATGTATGTATGTATGTGTGTGTGTCTATATGTATATGTATGCACATATATGCAAATGTATACATACACATATATACATGTATGTGTGTGTGTATATATAGTATAGTAGTCCCATAATTTCATATACTATGCTTCTATTAATGAATCATAAAATTGAATTGTCATTGACTGTTACATTCCACTAACTCATATTGAACTTTCAGTCCACTAAATTCTCTATTTTTTTATATATGAACTATTGTCTATCCTCATAGATCACTTTGCCTAAGAAACAGTTATGGCAGCAAAAGACAGATACCAAGCAAATCCAAAAGTTAGAGGTGAATTACTTGAAAGGATTTTTAAATGAACTTTGAAAGACTCAGTAACTCTGATCAACTCAGTGACCAATCACAACTGTAGAGAGCTCGTGATGAAACATGCTTGTCCACCTCCAGATAGAGAGCTGGTGAACTCGGAGTATAAAGTAAAGCATATTTTCTTTTCTTTTCTTTCTCTTTCTTTCTTTCTTTCTTTTTCTATCATGGCTAATGTGGGAATTTGTTTTGTATGACTAAACATATTTGTAATGGGTTTTGTTTTCTTTGCCTTCTCAGTATGTCAGGGAGGAAGAGATGGAAAGGAGAGAATTTGGAACTGAAGGTAGAATAAAATTGAATTAAAAAAAAAAGAAAGGGCTTTTGATTCCAAACTATGATTTAGGGTAAGTTGATAATGAATAGAAAGTTGAGACTACTTCAACAGATAACAAATTATATCTATCTGGTAATTTGCTTTATTTATTTATTTATTTCTAGTCACCCACATTTACAAACTTGGAGTCAACTTCAAATGTTATTCTGTCTTTTCCCTTATATCTAATTAGTTGTCAAGTCTTGCTGATTCTACTTGCACAATACCTCATATTAGTTCCCTTCTTTCTACTCACACAGCCATAGCCCTAGTTCAGATCCTCATCACCTCTCACCTGACTTATTACAATTGTCTCCTAACTGACCTCCCTGAATCTAATCCCTCCCTCTTTCTATTTTGTGTTTTGTTTTGGGTTTTTTTGGCAATTGGGGTTAAGTGACTTGCCCAGGGTCACACTGCTAGTAAGTGTCAAGGGTTTGGTCTGAGGCCGGATTGGAACGCAGGTCGTCCTGACTTCAGGGCCAGTGCTCTATCCACTATGCCACCTCGCTGCCCCAAAGATACTTCTAGGGACTGTAAATTTTCAGTTTTCTCAAGGTGCTATGATCAAAGGCGAGGTATTTACTCCTTTCCTGGCCTGTGCTCTGGTCTATGAGTTACCACAAGCACTGTTTTCTGCCTTGGAACTGTGAGGAGGATTCTCTCTGTACCGCCATAACAAGCTCCAACGTGCCAGTGTTCTTCCTCGTCTTAAGACAGCCACCAGAACTGTGACCCAGATCCAAGCACAGGCAAAGCAAGAGTTTCCTGCCTCAGCACCAGCAAAGAGATTTCTGCAATCCCGCCTCTGATCAGCCACTCGTTTCCCCCTCAGTCTGTGTGCCAAGAGCTCTGGAAGCAGCTGGCACCCCAGGGCTGTGCCAGGACTGGGGCCAGATGGAGCTCCTCTCTCACCATGATCTGACAGACCTTTCCTATTGCCCAAGTTGTCTTTGGTGTTTGTGGGTTGAGAAGTCTGGAAACCACCACAGCTGCCCTTGCTTTAGTCCCCTGAGGAATGCTCCACGTTTGCCGAGGCCCAGTCTTTGCTGGCACAGCAGCCCATGCTGAACCGTGCTTCTCTCCTAGCTTGGCACAGCAGATCTTTCCAATCAACCATCCAGGTTGTTTTGGGCTGGAAATTTGTTTCACTCTGTCTTTTTGTGGGTTCTGCTGCTCTAGAATTTTTTTAGAGCCATTTTTTACAGATATTTGGAGGAGTTTATGGGAGAGCTCAAGCAAGTCACTACTTTTACTCCACCATCTTGGCTCTGCCCTATAGCCTGCAATTTTGCTGAACCTATTAATGTCTCAGTATCTTTGCTGATTCTTTAGGATTTTCTAAGTAAACTATCATGTCAGTATCAAATTAAGATTGTTTTGTTTCTTTTTAAATTTTTTTCTCTTGTCTTATTATTATTGCTATTATTTCTAGAACTATATCAAATAATAGTGGAGAAAGAGGGCATCTGCCTCATTTTTTGTACTTTCTGGGAAAGCTTCTAGTATTTCCCCATTGTATATGATGCTTGTGTTTGGTTTTAAGTAGATACTTTTTTTTATCATTTAAAATATACCCTTCTGTTAGTTGGCCTCAACCTGGGGTCCACAGACAGCCCCTAAGGGGTCCATGGATTATTTCAGGGTGGTCCAAGAACTTGGATGAGAAAATGTTATATCTTTATTTCAGTATAATTGGTTTCCTTTTTAATCCTATGTATTTTGTTTTTAATATGTTTAAAAAGATTATTTTGAGAAACCATGCCTTTCTGTATGCTTCATCAGACACTAAAAGGGCCATAGTCTTCACCAGACTTCCAAAAGTGCCCATGACAGAAAAAAAAATTTAAGAATGCTTAACCTATGCCTTTACTTTGTATTTCAGCATAAATGAGTATTGTACTTTGTAAAATACTTTTTCTGCAATCATTGAAATAACCTTGTGGTTCTGAATGGTTATCTCCCTAACTATCCTTGCATATCTGGTATAAACTCATTTGATCATAACAAATTATTTTTTTAAAAAAACAAATTTTCATAAGGGGCAGGTAAGTGGCGCAGTGGATAGAGCTTTGGACTTGGAGTCAGGAAAACCTGAGTTCAAATCTTACCTCAGATTCATGGTACTTGTTAGCTGTGTGACCCTGGGCAAATCTCTTTAACCCTGATTGCCTCACTAAAAAATGCAAATAAATAAATAAACAAACAAACAAACAAACAAACAAATAAATAAATGAATAAATAAATAAATAAATTGTTATAGTCTTTTTTTAAGCTATCAATGAAATCTTATTGGAATTTGAGGAAGGTCTTCAGCACTTTGGGTGGACCCTCTATGTTGAACTTATGAAAGAACATGGAAAAGAGTCCTGCAGGATGGGCAGGGATGGATGGATGGGGTGGAATTTGCAAAAATGGAGAGAGTAGGCATTGATGAACCCATAGGGGTAGCAAAATTAGAGTACTGAGACTAATACATAAGAATGTGAAGACTGACCTTGGTAAACCTTAAAGCACTACATGAGTTATTATTACTTTTAAAATTTTAAACAGTAACCCTTGCTCTCTTTTCCCTAAGATTTCTTATCTCAGATATATCTAACAAGATCAAGGGGCAGACATCATATATTGTATTAGCTCCTTACTCTTTATCCATGCCCCTGAAATGGTTTAGTGTGTATGTGTGTGTGTGGGGGGGGGGGATTGGTGTGTGTCTGTGTGTCTGTGTGTGTGACTTTGGAGCTGGGAGGAATGATTTAGGAAGGTGTAAATTCTTGCCAAACTATACAAAAAGAACATTTTGGATGCTTATAAAGAAAAACCTCGTTTGTCATCCACATTGATACAAGAGAAAAACCAAGGCAAAAAAGGACTCATCTGACCATGAAAACAACTCAGTAAACAGTACTATCTCCTTAGCTGAGTTACAGATTTTTAGCTCTGGGCGGGGGTCGAGGGACGCTCAACACAAGGTGAGGTACTAGTCCCTCTGGATACAGAGTATATAATAGGAATGTTGGTGAAGCCATATGGGCATTTTTATGTAAAGCTGCACTGTCAGTATCCAAAACACCCCAGAGTATGCCCTGAAGATATTCCAACCCTGTTCCATTCTGGGGAGAAGAGGTTAAAAATAAGGGACAAACCTAGATGATTCGGTATGCCAGATGTGGGCAAGCTGACGCAGAGGTCCCCAGAAATAATCTAGTTCCCACAGAAGAAGGGCGGGGAGTTGTCAGCCCCGCTCAAGTCAGTATTGGGTCTCCCTGTAGACTTGCCTCCTGGATCATTCTTTCAGAGTCACATCCCAAAGCCAAGGGACTTCACCCTGACCTGCCCCTTCTCCTCTCCCCATTTCTCCCTAGCCAGCCTCAGGCTTGGCCAGAAAGCCTCCAGCTGTCTCCTCCCTCCCCAGCCCCCGGCTCCGCTGAGGACCAGCTGTGCAGCAGGGTGAGCTCCACTCTGGACTCGAGCTCTGTAGCTGCTGCTGCAGCCATCGGCGCTCGTGACCCGCCTTCCGTAACCTCCAGCTTCACGCTGAGCCCCGCCGAGCCGAGATCCAAAGTTGGGCTCCTCTAGAAACTCACTTTGCTGCCTCTCCAGGCGACGGCTTCGACATCCCCCTCCCCCTCCAGGCTGCACAGTCGCGTCCCCCTCCTCCTTCCCCCTGTCCTGCCGCCCCTGATTCCCAGCCCTCCCTCTCCCCGTCCCACTCAAACCCATCCCGTTGCAGTGGGCTGTCAGCTTGAATTCTGAGAGCTGCATCTTTCCAACGCCTCCCTGAAGGGCGACTATGCTCCTGTGGGGTGTCCTCCTGGCCGTGCAAGGTAAGGGTCAGGACTAGGAGTAAGCGCACTCGAGGCTGCCCCTAATGCTGCCCACCGCTCTGGGAAGCATTGCCTACGGGCGTGCACTGCTGGGAACCCATGCTGTCCCTGGAACGAGCCAGGCTCTCCTGGGCTGACAACTCAGAGAACCTGAGCGCGCGATGCCCTGTGCTCCTCCCTCGCATCTTGCTCTCGGTTCCCGTCTTGGCCAGTATTTGGGGTGGGGGTGGGGGAGTAGACGGTGGGGAAGGGTACTCTCAAGGCACCCACTCTCCCCTCTCTCCTCCATGCTTTCCCTCCACCTACCCTGGCTTGCATGTAGTCACCTCTGCTGAAAGTTTGGGTGAGTGTTCCCTGGGAGCGTGTACTGAAACTTTCTTTGTACCGGCAGCGCTGCAGTTTGCCAGAGCTGTGGAGCTCCCTGCTGGCTCTTGTGCCTTTGAAGACAGCACTTGTGGCTTTGACTCAATATTTACATTTTTGCCATGGATTTTAAATGAGGAAGGTAAGGATGGTCTTGCCTTTCTGGTTTTGACTTTTTCAGGATTTTTTAAATCTAATGTTAGATATGTTCGTTTCTTCACAGAGGAGAAGAAACCCAAAGTATCTGATTTCTTAAACAGGGCATGAAGAGAAGAAATCAGACAGTAAAAAGATATAATCATCAGTTTACTTTCCCTCTCCATAAAAAAAAAAAAACTTTTTAAAAGCTGCACACAATCTTAAAGTCATGTTGCCTTTCTTTATACTGTAAAGACTGGACTGAGAGTTGGAAGTTGCAAGTTCAAATCTCAACTAGCCTACCTGTGGGACCTTGAGCAAGTTACTAAACTCTGAATCTGAATTTCTTCATCTTTAAAACTGGATGAAGCTGTTAGATGTCTTTTTAAAGGTCTGTTACACCACAAAGTCCTATCTTTTCTCTGATAGAGTGAGGTAGCATGAGGTTGTGAAAAGTGAGATGATCTGGAAGGATATAGATGAACTGTGATCCTACTTCATCTCTAACTAGCTGTGTCACCTTGGGCTAGACACAGCTTCCTTGGGCTTTATTTTCCACAATGGAAAGGGTTCTAGATTTGGAATCAGAGACCCCAGGTTCAAATTCCATATTTGACACATTAATACCCCTGTGATCTTTTGCAAATCATTATGCTCTGGGCCTTAAAATAAGGGGATTGAATTAGATGCTTCTAAGGGTTTCCCAAGCTCTAAATCTTTGATTCTGTGTGGTAAGTCTAAGATCTAGTGACTTAAGTTGATATTTTGCTCCTTAATAAAGGTCAAAAAAAGGGTTATCTCATCCTTTTTTGGTTGTGAAATAAGGAACTTTCTAGTTTAGTATGGAGCTTCTTCTTTTTTCCTCTTTCTACTTTCCTCTCTTCTTTGGCCTATTCAGGCTAGGAATACAATGTAGGACAAATTAACTTATTTCCCTGCTCCTTTGTTCCCAGATCCAAAACTTATCAGAATGTAATTGCATTGGAGAATGTCAAATTCACAAAACACCAGTTTGAAAATCCAAGCTGGCATTGCTGAGTTGACAGCTGAGTAGCCTGTCTGGTTAGCTGAGAAAATAAGATGGTTTTGGTGACCTTTTCTATTCCTGCATTTCCTATTTTATGGTTATCAAAGGGTAGGCTTAGTGGGCACTGGAAATGAGTAGTTCAGGGCTGACTCACTGACCCTTGTTTGATTTTAAAATCACTTAAACCCCATGTGTCTTGCATACCTCCACCTGACAGTGTGTCTGGTAAAACTTTGAGAAAATAAGTGTCAAAGATTACCTGTCCTGGTGACAGCACTGAATTTGGAATTAGAAATGCACCCAAACCTAGGGCAGGATTAAACAAGGCTTTGTCCTAGGGCATTAACATATTGGTAAGGGGCATATTTCCTATCCATCATGATCTTATGGTAACTGCTGTCCTTGTCCCTCGTCTCTCAGTGTTCTAGAAAACAGGGGACAGCTGATCCATGGGACTCTCTAGGAACCATAGAATCATAGTAGTGGAGTCAGAAAGGACCTCAGAGGCCATCTAACAATAGCACTAATAACAATTGCTGAGGTTTATGTAGTGCTTTATTTACATGATTTCATTTGATCTTCACAACTGTGCTATTATTATCGGTATTTTATAAATGAGGAAACTGAAACCCAAAGAAGTTAAGTGACTTGCCTACGATGACTGGATTTGAATCCAGGTTTTCTGACTCCAGAGCCAATGTTCCTTCTGTTATACTATATTGGGATGAGCTCTCTCCTCCTTGTGTGACTACACCCAAAGTGGAACTGTTCTCTGAACCCCATCCCCACCCCAAACACACTGTTGAATTTGCCCCAACTGTAGTTTTTACTTAGTTAAATCTCTGATCAAAAGACCTCAATTCCTTGCTATGTCATTACTATCATTCTGGTTTCAATTTCTCCTGTAAAAATGAGAGAATTGAACTAATTTAAGGACCATCTAAGATCCTTTCTAGCTCTAGAGGTCTATGAACCAAAATTGATGCTATAGTATTATCATTTTGGATTTACTTTCTAGATAATGTGTTCTCCCTACACATGTTGTCAGTTTTACCAGGGAAGAAAAAAACCAAACAGAACCGTTTTTCTTAAAAAAAAATTGTCCATGAAAATGTACCATCCTCCCTTCTTTGCAGAGGTGGGGGCCTATGGATGTGGCACATTGCATACACTGCCAGAGCTGACTGATGTGCTGGTTAGTTTCACCGAATTACTTTTTTTCCCTCTTTTTTTTTTAAATTCTGTATGACAAGGGATCATTCGGTGGGTAGAGGAGGGGAGAGGGATATATTTGGAATTGGAGGAGATGTAATAACAAGAGATCAACACAAATGAAAGAAAATTAATTAAATTAAAAATAAAATGCCATCTCCAAGTCAAAGATAGGAAGGGAACACTCAGCGCTTTGGTAGGGATGGTAATTTAGCTCCACAGTTAACCTCTGATTCAATTTACAACCCACAAGCCTTATGGGATCACCACAACATTTCAATAAGCTATGACTTTTAGAAACCCTACTTCCTTTCCAAGGCTGACAGGAAGGCTTCTGCTGAGCTGGCACAGGGGCAGTAGGGAGGGATACCTTTAGGGGTGGCATCAAGATGCACATATAGAAGTTGAGCATAGTTTAATGCTATAATGGGCAGACTGTTCTTTCCCCACTTCTTTCTACCGACAGGCACTGCTTTTTGACTTGGGGGGGGATGGGAAGGGCTAGCTTGGCTGGGGGGAAAAGTTATTCATTTTATTTGCTGCCTGCCAGGACTACAGCTATGGAAGTTATGCCATTACAAATCTGGTTTTCAAAAAGGTTTAAAACTTGGATAGAATGTTTACTCAAGTAAGGAAGTTAGGTAGGTGTGTGCCTGCTGCTCCAGGGGACAGTTAAAGGCTGTTTCACTCTTTCCATTCTAAATTCTATTTATAGGTAATTTGGTCACAATAAAAGTATCCTAGGCTGAAATTCAGTATACATATTGTAAAGCTTCTCTGCTGTTTTGTAACAAAATCCTCCTAAAATTGGTTTCACCCACTTCAATTTGTTGGCTATTAACAAAGGTTTACTTGAGATACCTTTGCCCTTTGGTAGCTGGGGTAAGGGTGTGAGAAATGCCATTCTACCACAAAAGCACAGCTGAAGGAATTAGAGAAGGGTATAGTTATTTAAGTGTGACTTTTTTAGAGAAAGAGGGGGAGAGGACCCTATCCAAAAATACCTCCTTACAGTCTGAAATTGCATGCATTCCTTTGGGCTAAGGTTTTCTATCTCCAGAAATCCCCTGTTAAAATAGCCCTACCTTTGGGAGGTATATTAAGAATTAGTAGCATGTATCAGATTAATATCTAATAGGAATGGACCAGCCTGCATAGGTAAACTTTAACAGGGCACACAGGTGAGGTTCTGCAGTAGTGCTGGGGCAGGGTCAAGTTGTGGGAAACAAAGAACACCTGGGAAGAGAGGGAAAGCACCACCCATGAGGAAAGGAATGCATATGTTAGAAGCAGAAGGACACTCAAAATAAATTTTGCCTTTTTCACAGTTTTGCCTAGGGCCAGCTCGGAGGAATATATATGTTTTTCTTTTCTTTTTTTTTGCTTGTGCCCTTTGAGAATGTTTCACATTGTATTTACCATCATAGGTGTGGGGGGTGGGGGGGAGACATAGTGTACCATTTGGTTAACCTTAATATCTTAATTTCTTTATTAATAAGAACAACCCACATTTAATTAATGCTTTAAAGTTTTGCAAAGAACTTTCTTCCCAGCAATTTGCCAGATAGATAATAAAGGAGTTATGCTTACTTTTTAGATAAGGAAACTAAAGTCTGTAGAGGTAAAGGGACTTGTCCAAGGTGACCAGGCAGTAAGTTGTCAGAACTGAAACTTCACCCTGGGTGATAAAGCTGGAAGGCACCTGAGAAGTCATCTGGTCTTTTTACAGATAAAGAAACTGAGGCTGAGTATTGACAGAGGTAGAATTTGAACTTGGTCCTCTGATTCAGAAGCCGGTGATCTTTTCAGTGTACTGTCCTGCTGAGTCTGGAGCTTTTCACCAAAGCCACAAAAACTCTTATTAATTCATTAATTCAAAAGATGCGGCTGAGATTTACAAAATCTTAAGGACAGGGGTAGGCAAGCTAGATGGTACAGTGGTTGGAGCACTGGGCTTGAAATCAGGAAGACTCATTTTCCTGAGTTTAAATCTGGCCTTAGGCACTAGCTGTGTGACCCTGGGCAAGTCACTTACCCCTGTTTGCCTCAGTTTCCTCATCTGTAAAATGAGCTAGAAAAGGAAATAGCAAAGCACTTGGCAAATCTTTGCCAAGAAAAGACCAAATGGGGTCATGAAGAGTCAGAAATGACTGGACAACAACAAAGGACAGTGGTACTTTGCTTTTAGAAAAGCACCAGCTTCTCTTCTTCACCTGCTAGCTTCCAGGGTTTAAGGTTCCTAAAGGCAGTAGAGCAGTGCCGATGTCTGAGGCTCACAATTCCAAGTATTTAGCAGATGCTCAGAATTGCTTTTGTTCCTATTGTAATCATAGGCTGGGCTTGACCATCTGTGATATAAGATATCTTCCATTGACTCTTTATGAGGAAATGCTCTGTGGACTGAGGAAAGGAGCAGAGACAAAATGGGCATAGAGTTTCACAGTTACAATTTGGAACTTTGAATTATATCAAGGGGGAGAGAGAGATTGAAAAGATATCAGGTAAAGAGAGGCAAAGAAAGTTAAAATCTTCATTATGATTAAAGGATTTTTAGTGCCTAAAGAATCAGGTTTTGAGAAAATGCTTAATACTAGAAATAGCTTGCTTACCAGAGATGGGATTGTGGCAAAGCTTCTTATAAAATAATGACTTGTCTGACCCAAAGAGGATAATAGTGATTCAGACGCCTTTAAATACAACATAGGAATGCAGGCTATTGAATATAGGATAACAAAGAAGTAGAAAATTTAAAATATGCTAAGAGC